AACATTAAAAAAATGACCTGTTATGTTTGTATGTAGTGCTTTAACCGTGTCAGTCCCAGGATATTAGAGAGACAAGGTGGGTGAAGTAATATCTTATACTAGACCAACTTCTATTGGTGAGACAAGCTTTTGAGCTACACAGAGCTGTGTTAGGTTTAACAGTACATTACAAATGTCAATTAGACAGGACAGAACTGGGCTGGGTTAGTTGTTATCACAGTAGTACACTTGTTCTGCCTTCCTTCTAGGCTTGTAATGAGTGCTGGGCATGGTCCGCAATTAATTTTCCCCACCCCATCCACACATAATTATTGAATCAGTGCTGCTGTAGCTAACAGCCTGGGTGCTTCTGCATCACTATTTACGGCGTTTTGTAACTGGACCATAAAAACTGTCCATACATGAGTATGAAAAAGTAAAGAGAAGATTTGTGGATTTAAATGATTTTTAATTAGATGGAAACAATGAAAAACAATGGGAAAATTCATTATTAAACTCAATGGAGTTACAATAGGGATGGTTTTTAACATGAAACTGAATCTAGTTATTGCAGAGGCTTCCAACCACTAGGGCAGTGGTTTTCAACCTGTGGTCCGTAGACCCCTGAGGGTCCGCAGGCTATGTCTAAGATTTCCAAAGGGGTCTGCACCTTCAGTTGAAATTTTTTAGGGGTCTGCAAATGAAAAAAGGTTGAAAACCTCAGCACTAGGGAGGCTACACTGCAGCAGGGAGCGTGCTTCCCAGCCCAGGCAGGCAGACATATGCTAGCTCTGCTTAAGCTAGTGCACTAAAAATAGCAGTCTGGACATTGCTGATTAGACGGCAGATTGGGCTTGCACCTCAAACTCATAACCCAGGGGCTGGGCAGGCTTCTACACAGAAGTTAGTGCCACTGCCCATGCTGCAACGGCCGAGGGTGACCAGACAGCAAATGTGAAAAATCAGGACGGGGGTGGGGGGTTAATAGGAGCCTATATAAGAAAAAGACCCAAAAATCGGGACTGTCCCTATAAAATCGGGACATCTGGTCACCCTACAACGGCCATGCTACTATTTTTAATGCACTAGCTTGTGCAGAGGTAGCGCGTTTGCATACCCGGGCTAAAGGCACGCTCCAAGCTGCAGTTTAAACATACTGTAAATGATCTGACATACTGTGCATGCTGCAGTACGCAGATACAATGAGGTCTGTTGAGCAAGTAGATTCAGGCTTAAAGGAAAACCGCAATGATTTGTTGTTGTTCCTTAGGGGTCAGTCCCGTCAACTCCCATTGACTTCAATACCTCACAGCATTAGGGTGCTAAATACATTATATATTCTTTACTATGAAAATAAATAACTATATTTTTTAGAAATATCTGCGCTGTCCTGATCACCATGACAGTGACTGGCAGCCTGTCTCTCTCTGAGCCCAATCCTGTACTCCTTACGTATTAAAAACTTCCACTGACTGTATGAAATCAGAGACTTAACAAGTGCTGAGCCTGGACCTCCTGCTGGGAAGTAGGGGAAGAGACAGGAAATGTAGCTCAGTGTTTGAAAGCGTGAAAAAAGCAGACTTTTGGCGTTTCTTTATGGTAAGTTCTCTTTTGGTTTCTTTTACATAATTGGTTAATCTAACATGGGTTTAACTGCACTGTTAAATCAACCAGTTTTTTCATTTTAAAGATATTACTTAAGGGTGTAAAAGGTGAAGGTTAATTGTCTAGGCACCTCCAAATAATACTCACGCCAGTAAAACTAACTGGAGCTATCCAACTCCCAACAGAAAAGCTCCCATGGACTTCAGTGAGAGTAGGATTTGGCCTTATTGAGAACTACTTAAGGACCCAATGCACTGTAAAATTAGGACCACACCCTATCAGAACTCATGTGGTCTGCATGCAGAAACCAGAGAGGTCTTCCCATAGGGGATGATGTTGATGGAGCCTATGTTACCTTTCACAGGTACCAAAACCAAGGAAGGGGTTGTGCACAGCGTGAGTTCAGGTAAGAGCACAGTCCCTACAGATTTGTGTAAATTGATAGAGCACTGTTGTAAATATGGATAAGAATATAATTTCTATTGATATAAAGCAAAAGGAGTTTTCTTTTACACTTTAGAAGCCAAAGTACCATGGTTCCCAGAATGATTCTTTGGTGATAGAAATGCACTGCATGCTGGGACTCCTAAACAAAGTAACACAGGAAAGGCATCACGGAGGCTTCGATATTCGGCTCAGCGTGTCAGAGAGTATGAGTGTTCTGCTGCTGGATGGGTCAAGGATGCTTGTCATTGGGCAATGTTGTAGGTTGTGGCACTTTTCAGTGCTGGAAGCAGGCCAAAAGGGTTTAATCAGTAGATCTAGTCAGAAAAATTCTGACAAAACATTTTTTCAACAGACTTTGCAGAATCATTGAAATCAAAACATTCTGTGAAGATTTGATTTTTGACAACGTTAATTTGGAAACCTGCTTGGGTTTTCTCCCAGCTCACCCACCCAACTCCTTGGCAGCCTGCCTGGCAGGCTGTCTTAGAGTTTATGACCCCACTGCATCCAAGGTCCCTGGCTCCATAGCTGCTGACCAGATGGACTGCACTCTTGCTTTCACTGCAAATTTTGAAATTTTTGGTTTTCATTCCAATTTGGAACAAAACCAAATTTTGAAATATTGAAATCTTCTGTGAAACAGAATTTCTTTTCTCCAGCCAGCTCTATTAATCATCTAGAAGGGGTTTATAGGGAGGATTTAGCTAGATGGAAAGGGGTTACAGAAGGGCAGTCCAGTTTGGCAGTCTACAATGGGCAAGATGACTTTTTTTTCTTTTTTTGTGCTACTGCTTCTTGGTATAGGTTTGTTTTGCGATCTGCCCTTTCCCTAAAGGTTGCCAGGTTGCAATACCCACCTATTCTTGAGGTAAGCGGCATGTGTGAGAATTAGTCTCAATGCACTGTAATATTAAACTGTTAGCATGTAGCCTGCATACAGAAAGTCCAAATAACAGATAACACAGGGCAAAATATTGCTGTGTTACCCTGCTGCAACCGTTGGCCCCATCCATTTCACTGATCCAAGCTAGCTCTGTAGACTGTCAATTATGATGTTATCCAGTTAAACAAAGACTGATTTTGAACTTCATTCACTGACTCTACTTTTTCTTGAACCTTTAGTTGCTGAGAAAACCAAAGAGCAGGCCAATGTGGTGGGTGAAGCTGTTGTGGCCAGCGTGAACACAGTGGCAAGACAGACTGTAGAAGGAGCAGAGAACATTGTAACCACTACTGGGATTGTAAAAAAGGTATGTTTGTTTTTTCAGAGACCTACAGGAAATAAGAGGTTTGTTTTGCATTATACTTCCTCGAACACCTGTTTAATGTGATGATTTTAAAAGAGGTATAATGAGTTAATACCTCCTCATATTTTGCTATGTAATACAGGTTAGTACAGGCACGTTGTTCATCTGCACATTGCTCAGAGCCCTTATATTCTAGGCAGCCAAAGTCATTAGTCACTTCTGAAATATCTTCATCTATAGGCCTAGAGATTCAGGTGATCAATACTTAGCCATATCACCCTCCAGCGTAAAGTATCTATTTTCCCATAAAACTATCTATATTTCTTTAGAGAGAAAGCTGAGGACTAAAGTTCTGATCACAGGATTGGGAGCCAGGAATTCCCAAGTTTTAACCCAAGTTGTGATATCTGTTCCCGTTATGGCTTAATGCAAACCAGACAAGCTCTCTGCATTAATTTCCCCCCTTTTTAAAGTAGACCTAATAATAATATTTTACAGTGTCACAAGGGTGTTTTGAGAATGAGTCAGTTCATATTTGTAAAAAGTACAGGCCTTGGAACAAAATGTTCACGATACTCCGAACTACTACAGGTTTTAGAATCATCCGAGGCCCTAAAGTTTGTTGTATATTGATTAAAGATTGCATAAAGTCACCGAGTTCAGATTAAAATCTGAACCACCCCAAGGGTTGTGGGTGTTCAGATCTAGAGTTATGGCTTAGCCAGCTATAGAGATAAGAATTAGCTAGAATATTTATACGCAGATCTGGACCCATATCTCAAGCTTCTACAGAATTTGGAGGAGGCATCCTTGGACCTAAGGCTTTGGTTCAGACCCTTTCCTGGTATTGAAGTTTATTTTTTAAAACTTTATTTTCATTGTTTTATATAAAATATAAAGACATAATGAAACAAAACATGTAAATACATGCACAAGATAGAAATACCACATAAATAACAAAATTCAACATTCATTATTTGTAAAACTTGGGGAAAAAAACAAAAAGAAAAATCCTGAACCTGTAGAGGTCATGCAGGGCATCAGTTATTAAAGTGACTAAATAAGTGAGAACATAACTTACGAGGATCGGGGACTAATATATAGTAAGCTGCAAAAATGTATGCAGTAGTTTCATGTATGAACAGACATCCTCATATTTTTTCCAAGCATTTCTATTAGACAGAGATGTTTTTTCCATGAATGCAGTAGTACAGAGCTCACTAAGCCAGACTGTGCATGAGGAAGGAACTGCAGATTTCCATTTTCTCAAAATAACTCTTTTGACCACTAAAAGTTATTGCAATCCATGTCTCAATGTTAACTGTTAATAGCAACTCACCCCTAAAATACACAAGCTTGGAGAAGGAAAAATAGCAACACTTACAAGTTTTTGAGAGCATTGAATTGTCAGCAATCCCTCGAGATCGAGGATGATGTTTCACAGGTTTTATTTTTCATGGGTCTTTGGTGACTGAGGAATCCAATTCTTGAGCCACAGGCTCATTGGCAGACATTGCAGGTGGTGTTGGAAGACGGGATTGGGCTGCAATTGCTGCGTGACAGTCATCTATCCTTTCTTTTCTGGCGTTTTCTGCGACCAGGGCAAGGTGATTTTCTTAAAATTAGACGTTCCCTCTCTGACAAGTCTTTGCCAGTTATCCCTATCCCGTGCTGCTATATCCCAGAGTGCAGCGTTGATGCCACATCTCTTGATTTTATCTTGAGGGTGTCTTTAAAGCATTTCTTTTGGCCTCCCCATTTCCTTTCTCCTTTGGTGAGCTGGGCATACAGCTGTTGTTTTGGAAAGCGTACATCAGGCATGCGCACACAGTGCCCGCTCCACCTCTGCTGGTGCTGGATAATCAGGGCCTCAACACTGAAGATGTTGGCCTCTGTGAGGACACTGACATTAGTGCGATGATCCTCCCACTTTAGGTTGAGGATCTTCTGAAGAAAGTGCTGGTGCTGGTGTTCCAAGTTTTTCAGGTGTTTTTTGTAGTCTCTCAGCCATAGAGGAGAGTTGGAGTTACCACCACTTTATAAACTAAAAGTCTAGTATGTGTTCTGATGTTGTGGTTGTTGAACACCCGGTGAGATGGTCTGCCAAAGGCCAGGCTGGCACAGTGCATTCTGTGCTGAATCTCGACATCTGTGTCTGCCCTCTGTGAGAGATGTCTGCCCTCTGTGAGAGATGGCTGCCAAGATAGGCAAAGTATTCTACATTTTCCAGTTCTTCTTCTTTATCAATATAGATCTTCCTTGCTGGGTCTGATGATTGACCGGGGACTGGTTGGTGGAGAACTTTTGTTTTGCCGATGTTCAGTGCTAGCCATAGGCTTTTAAAAGCGTCAGAGAAGCAATTAAGGGCTGTTTGAAGATCCTCCTTTGAGTGTTCAACTACAGCAAAATCATCTGCGTACTGGAGTTCGGTTATTGTTGCCGATATTACTTTAGTTCTGGCATGGAGACGAGAAAGGTTGAAGAGGTTGCTGTCAATCCGATATTGGATGCCAATGCCTTATAGTAGACAGTCTTGGGTTAATGTTTTTGTAGCTACTAAGAAAATGGAGAAAAGGGGGAGGGGTGCCAGTACACAACCTTGTTTTATGCCAGTTTGGATGACAAAGGGTTCAGGGATAGAGCCACTGCACAAGATGGAGGCAGTCATCTGGTCATGGAAGAGTCTTAAAATGGTGACAAATTTGCTTGGGCAGCCAAATTTTGACATGATTTTCCACAGAGTCTCATAATTGACTGAGTCGAAGGCTTTGGTCAGATTGATAAAGGCCATATACAGCTCCTGGTGTTGTTGTTGACATTTTTCCTGGATCTGCCTGGCTGTGAAAATCTTGTCTGTTGTGCCTCATGATGGTCTGAAGCCACACCGGGACTCTGGAAGTACTTCCTCTGCAAGAGAGAGCAGGTGATCCAGTAAGATTCTAGCAAGAATCTTCCCAGCATTGGAGAGGAGGGTAATGCCTCGATAGTTGCCACAGATGGCCCTGTCTCCCTTTTTGAAAATGGTGATGATGTTAGCGTTAGATAAGTCAGCAGGGATTTCTTCGGTGCGCCAGATTTTGAAGAGCAGCAGGTGAAGCTTGTTAGTCAGTGTTTCTCCCCCCACTTTCAGTACTTCAGCTGGTATGCCATCAGGACCTGGTGCTTTATTGTTCTACATTTGTTTCATTGCTTTGCAGACCTCCTCAGGTGATGAGTTGGCAAGAGTTTCCTAGATTGGGTGTTGAGGGATGGAGTCGATGGTATCGACAGTCACAGTTGATTCTCGATTTAGAAGCTTTTGGTAGTGTTCCTTCCAGCGCTCTTTAGACTCATAGACTCATAGACTTTAAGGTCAGAAGGGACCATTATGATCATCTAGTCTGACCTCCCGCATGATGCGGGCCACAAAGCCGTCCCAA